GCTTTCTGCTCAAATCCCGGGATTCGGATAAGGGGAAGCACCATCCGTGAGGACCCGGCGTGGCCCTGCCAGTCTCCAACCTGGAAGCTGAAAAGGTGAACCCCGCCCGTGCGCACCCAACGCGGGTTCGTGGGGAAGGAGCAGGACGGCGGCACACGGCACCTCCCAGCCACGCAGGACTGCCGTGGGCCGTGGCCTGGGCTGTGGCACAGATGCAACCCCGCTACCTCAGTCCGGGGAGGCAGAGGTGGCCCTGACCAACTCCTGCCCACTTGCGTGCGTCGCACTCTGGTGGATTTTTCATGGGCTTTTTAGGCCACCTGTGCATTTCCTGTTACTTGTTACGGAAACCATGGCTGAATCTCCCGCGCCTAACTTTGAGGTCAGCTGCCCCGGCCTGAGCGTGGCGCCTTCACCGTGGTTGGCGCAGTGAGCGCGGTCTCAGTCTGGAGGGCAGGACCTCAGCAGCCTGACACGGGAACAGAGGGAAGAGAGCGGGGACGCAGGAGGGGCGGGGGGAGCGGAGGCCGGGTGAGGCGTGAGTGCTGTGCTGGGTCCCAGGGAGGGCCGGGAGGGGAGGGGAGGGGAGGGGAGGTGAGGGGACGCCACCTCGCTGTCGCCATCGGGGAGGGCGGCCAATGCCGCCAAGGGCCCCACCCTCGTCACCCCAGAACCCGAGGGTGCCGTGTGTCGCAGAGTCCCGCTCAGCTGGAATAGTCTGCACCGGGGCTCCGACCTCCCGTGAGCACTGAGTCACCCGGGGTCTCTCCACGGCCCCTGTCTGGTTCCCTGCATGGGGGGGGCACGGGTCCCGAGACACCCTGGGGGGCGACGCCCCAGCAGTGGGCCAGTGCGTCTCTGTGTGTGTCTATGTGTGTCTGTGTGTGCCTCTGTGTGTGTGTCTGTGTGTGTCTGTGTGTGATATGTCTGTGTTTCTCTGTGTGTGTCTATGTGTGTCTGTGTGTGTGTCTATGTGTATCTGTGTCTATGTGTCTGTGTGTGTCAGTGTGTCTATGTGTGTCTGTGTATGCCTCTGTGTGTGTCTGTGTGTGTCTGTGTATAGTGTGTATGTGTCTATGTGTGTCTGTGTATGTCTGTGTGCATGTGTCTGTGTGTGGCATGACTGTGTGTAGTGTGTATGTGTCTATGTGTGTGTGCATGTGTAGGTGTGTGGCATGACTATGTGTAGTGTGTATGTGTCTATGTATGTCTGTGTGCATATGTCTGTGTGTGGCATGACTGTGTGTAGTGTGTGTGTGTCTGTGTGTGTCATCTCTGTGTGTGTCTGTAGTGTGTATGTGTCTATGAGTGTCTGTGTGTGTCTGTGTGGTGTGTGTGTAGTGTGTATGTATCTGTGTGTGTCTGTGTGTAGTGTGTGTAGTGTGTATGTGTCGATATGTGTCTGTGTCTGTGTGGTGTGTGTGTAGTGTGTATGTGTCTATGTGTGTC